ATTGCATAGAAGGGCTAAACTGTTGTGCACAGTTGTGTTCCAGCGAATTGTGCCATAGCATTAGTTTCCCTTTTCGGCATGTTTTTCAATTCAGAGGACCAATTTCATTTATTCAATTACACTTATATCGCTATATTTAGGTACTTTATTAAAATATTCAGAAGATGACGGTGTTAAAAGTTGTTATCGCTGATGTCACGGGATTGCGCTTCAGGATGTTGTCAAATTATTGTGAGCGTTACGTTAAACCTGTTCGAACAATCTTCAATTTGCATAAATTAAAAGCGTTATAAATGAACGTCAAGTGAATTGGCATATAAATAATAGAGTATGCACAATAATTACGACAAAGCTTACGAAAGCTGTGCCAGACCCAAGCCCCTCTACCCCGTCAGACCCCCTTTTTGCCATCTGCTCAATGAATCTTAAATCCTTTTGACTCTTGTGACATAATGCGTCCTTGGACTGAGTGCTTAGTGTATTGCGATTCAATTCAAATAGAGTTTATTATATATTCATTAGTTTATCAATTGAAGATGGGAATTTAGTGTATAATTGTCATGTAAAAGTGAATATAATAGTCATGTTTATTGTATCGAGCAGGTACACCCAGCTCTACCTCCACTTAGTCGGGCACTCCCTACGTCATATTTGTTTACTCCTACTTGCAAAACCAATTATTGTAATTATCGTATCAATATTTGCTTGGCCAATGCACGCTAAGCTTTGACAAACAACTCACTTGGCTTTGGGCAAACATTGAGCTAGGGCGAAAGGCCAACAGTGTCGTCTCCAGGGTCCTGCGCTGCTCTTGATGAATGGGTTCAAAAGAAATAAACAACGCTTGACAACTGGTAAATCAAAATGCAGGAACGAAAAAATTGTAAAAAAAATAAGGAAATATGATATATGTTCGCTTCGCGCTGAACATGTTTAATGATACATGTCCAGCTGCTTGGCCGAACTGACGCCACAACAACAACAGATCGTCGCCAGGGTAACGTGTCCTGTGCACAGAAACCTCGCGATTTATGAGCCAATGGAATTCGCTCTGCGGTTTTCTTTTTATCACCAAATGCGAGTCAGCATGACACACCCACAATATTTCTGTTATGTATCTTTTTCATATGCTCCGTCAAACAATAGCGCCGAGTAGCTAGGGTATGTACTCACGGATACCATGCTCAGTTATTAGTGGGAAAAATTAAATGCCAGCTAAATAGAGGGCGGGGCTTGCATGAGGAAATCGTATTATACTGGAAATTGTTTAGTTGGGTACAGCTCCGTTCTATTTTTATCTAGCTATCTCTCACACTTTTAACTAAATATTACAACCTAAATATTCCCATTCCCCAAAATTACAATGTATGTCCCTCTACTATTTGATTGCGTAGGGTATTTTTTAACAGATAAAATGAAAACAATTCCAAGAACATATCGAATTTATCATGCGGAGTGTTTCGAAGTGGAAACGCACCCACCTCTCTGCTTTGTTATTCAATATTCTCTCATATTCCATTCAGTTTTTTTTTATTCAAATTTTGATTCACAGGCACGGTTTGTCCCATATTTTGTTTAAATCCTTTGTAGTTGATGAAGTTGTTTTGAAATATGTGAAGCATTAACATTCGGTGAAATTATGCGTTTGTTGCCTTGCCAACAAATCGACTGTGCGTATACTTAATATTTGCTGTAAACAGTGAACGCCACAGACATCTGTTTCAATTACGCTCAAATCGAGCTTGTTATTGAGGTTGAATGCTTGCCCTTTTATCTGAAATGCGAGTTGGCGCAAGTGAGCTCGAAAAAGGGAGCTGAGAGTGAAACCATAAATCGGAGAAAATATCGAGGCTTTTCTCTGATTTGAAAATGGTAAAAGCAACAAGGAAAACTGTATATGAAAATATGAAATAAATGTTAGCCATCATCGAAATCAATCAAATTTATCGAGGCAGAAAACGTTGGCAGTCATCAAATATTTTACATTGAATTGTATTAACATAATTTTGTATTTGTGATGTGCCAATTGCAAGTCAATCGATAATTATCGATAGTATAAATGCAAATGTATTATTCATATTTATATTATTCCTAGCTATGCTTTCGCTTGTATTTTATACATATTAAGGCACATATTGATCGATTTCTTGTTATTGGAAATTGAAAGCTCTACTCAGAATGCTTTTTACACGCTGTAGACTTTCTAGTTCAAGGGTAAGCCGCAGTCGTTAGCGTAGGACACGATTTGCATGCGCGTGCAAACATCGCCGCTGCGAGTCCTCGTCTGTTAGCCAAATGAATAATGAGTTATGCACACTGATGCCTGACCTCGATGCTCAGTGTGTTGGCTGTAAGCTGACGCTTCTGCTTCTGCTGCTGCTGCTGCTGCTGCTGCTGTTGTTGAGTCAACAATATCTAGATTCGCATATGATATGATTATGTTAATAAGTCATCGCCTAAGCGCTTTTAATAATATTGCCAATAATAATGTCTGTGCCATGGTCACGCCACAGTCAAGTGCTAAGTGCTGCTCGCGCATTATGCCAACAATGAGCTACTTGAGCCACGATTCTTCTAAAGCCCAGTTCAACGCCGTTCAGCTGATTTTTTATGTCTGTGTGTGTGTGTGTGTTTGTATATATATGTATTATCATCTTGCACTGGGTATAATTGTAAGGCTTTTACTTTTTATGTACTCACAATTACTTAAATACACTGGAGAAGACTTTTCTCAGTTTTAATGCAAATAACGATGACAATGACAGGGTAATGCCTCTGCTTTTTATGTACTCTTAATTACTTGAGTACACTCAGAGAAGAGTTTTTCTCATTTTGAAACTTGTCATGAAACTTATCATGAAAATAACAATGGCCAAGTCAATGACATTGGCCATGACATTGACAATGAAAATGACAATGAATTATTAATTTATGTACAACACTTGCAGTCAACCCATCGATTTCTCTCAGTGTACGATTGTGTGGGTTACTCGCTGCTTAGGCTTTCGAAGGGGCGTCCATCATAAAACGTGGATCTGTGTCTGTGTCATTGTGCTGACGCTAACATTGGGGCTGACAATGTTGATGCCGACGTCGATGTCGATGTCGATGTCGCTGCGAAGGCTGTTGGGCAGTGGACAGTGGCAGTGGACTTAACATAAGTAACGTCAAAGGTCAGCTGCCGAAGCGAGCTATTTCATGACGCTCAACTAGACCAGAATGTATTTCATCAGACATTCGAATCAAATACCGGAAAAAAGAAGAGGACAAGCCCGTTCCGCAGACACCATAAAATGCTGTTGCTGCAAGGGTTGCCAACAACAAACAACCGGGCTTAAGTGAAATCAAAACCAATGTAGCGTGCATTCACACACACACACACACACTCACTCAGTGGGACAGTTATCCTGTTGTGTGTCCTTTTTGCTTACATCAATTTTTTCTCTCCCGATTTTGCGCTGCTTGCTTTAACGGGCGCCAACTTTTCCATTAGCATGGCGAGCGTTTATAGCCTGAAGAACTTGCATATTCAATACATGGCAAATGTTAACCTCTGTCGGACGCACACACACACTCACGCACACACACACTCATTCAGCATTCGTTGATTACATATTTGTTGCATACTTTTTGGGTGTCCGTTTTATTATGAGCACTTCGCTTTGACTCCGTTTTGATACGCCCACATCAAAGAGGCTGAGGCAAAATGAAGCAGATTTACCATTTATATTTACAAAGACTGAATTATCACTTGGGCGAATTGCATACAATCACACTGAATTTGTGTTGGGCCTGGGACTCGATTTCACTCGTATCATTATTTCATATTAAGCCAACAGAAGACGAGTGTGGGCAAACAGAGCTGGAGGCAATATAAAAGGCTTTTACTTGTGTACATACCCCATAATAGATTGGGTTTTCCTATTTATGGCATTTTAAAGTGTTTCGAAGAGGCAAGCACAGCTTTGTGTTTGCTTACAGTGGAAGAGAAAATTCTCCCCATATAAAATGTTAAATTGAAAGACTAATAGAGCAGAGTTGCTGGATAGGTATTAGCTTACTATAAAGATAATATGGCTATGTAATTATTTATATCCTAGTCAATAGTATTTATTTTATCGATAGACAAATATCAATTTGAATGCAAACAGAAATTTCGAGAAATATCAATTTAAAGACTACAGATTTAAGCGTGTAGATTAGAAGGTATTTTCAAGTCGATCAAACTCAACCAGAACAACCTTGACTTGTATGTGTAATTATAAATTCAATAAAATTTGCAATTAAAGTAATGGCGTTTAATTAACGTTGAACGTAATTTAATATTCCGTTTAACAATTTACGAATTATTATTGAATTAAGTAGCCATTGCTTAACTTCAATGAAAGACGTATAAATACCCTAAATTGGATTAATGTTCAGAGTAGAAAGTAAACAAAAAAATGATCAAATAAATTAATGATCAAATAGAAGATACCCATTATATCTATCGATATAATGTAAAACTGATACCCTGTACTTATTTGAAAATATAATACTCTCTATATATATAAATAAGAAAACGTTCTTCAAGAAAAATAACCAATAATCGATAAACTACAGGCTGTAAACTACAGGTGTAGCTTACCTACCTAGATACCCTGTAGTTATGTCAAAGATATTTTATTTCACAATGTAATTTCATACTTTGCTGATTCAATTAGTAGATACCCTGTATCCAGTTACTATTAAGACTAACAGATACTCTGCTGATACCCTATAGCTGCGTCAGATATGTCACAAGCCCTCTAGAATAGCCTGTACCTCTCAAACGCAACGACCTATCATCGCCCACAGATATTTACATTTTTATTAGCCCGAGGATTTGGGACCGCAAGAGGCTCTTATCTGATTGTTTGTTGAAATTCGATTTTATTGTAATTTGTCATTTGCTTTTTAACGGTTCAATTTGTTAATGTCAGATTTTTTATTCGCTGTGTATGTTTTGCTTTTTTTTTTAGCACTTTTTGCTGGCGCCAACAATTTGCATAATTAAAGCGTCGTTCAGATAGTGAAAAGCAGATAACGCGAGCTACAGGTAAGTCGAGCTATGAATGCGACTATATATATACACATATATATCTATATTTGCAATGCAAATTAATAAAGATAAATATCTTTCTACTTTTTTTTTTGGTTTTTGTTATTAACAACTGTTAACAAATTTATATGCTCGGCGCATGTGAAGAAGAAATTTGCTTTATTTGTTGTTTGTTTGGGTTCGGTTTTATTTTTGGGGTACAACATTCCAATTGGGAATTTCTAAGCGATTCTGGTTGGCAAATATGTCGAGCCGGATGACAACATGTGGGCGAGCCATAAAATACCTAAGACGAGAGTCGTAAAAGCAACAACTTCCTGAACAACAAGAGGCTAGTTGAGTAGTAGCTGACTAAAGTGACGAAGTAAATTTAATGATACTTCATCTAATAAGAAATGCTGTAAACAGACTAATCAAACCTAGAACAGATCTACTTCTGCTGGACTTGGCTTCTCGTCCTGTCTCTCTCTCTCTCCCTCTCCCTCTCTCTGTTGTCATGGATTGCTTCTATTAAGGCTATTACTTTAGCCTAATCAATTAGTATTTATTGTGCCATCAATATGCGTTACACATGGAGGAATGCCTGAAAGATGTATTTGTGGAAGCTCCAAGTCTGAATTGAAATGCCTTGAGCAAGTAGGGAGTGCTTTTAATGAGATCCTTCTTGTTAAAGATTCTTTTATACACTTTATTGATTCAAATGAGTTTCTATCAGATGTTTCGGGATGTTGACGGGTATATCCTAGTCGGACATTCACACTTCGACCCACCTCCCTTGTTGCCCTTGTGTCCCAGTTTCCCTTATTAGATTTTTATCCATTCGTGAGCGAGCACAGTTTACCTCTGGCATATTGGACAGGTGACAGCTTTTTTTTCGATTTACGTCAATATGTTGCTGTTTCTGTCGTCTTTTTGACTGCGGCTTCTGTTGTTGCATGTAACTGCAAGGGTCATAAATCGTATTGGCCAACAGCTTATTCGATATGCAGACACGTGCCGCCATATGGATCCTAAAGGGGGCTCTTAGTGTATGCATTGTCGATTTCAATATGTTCAAGCAGCGAAATCTTTTTATTGCTCTCAGCCATAAATATGAAATGTTTGATAGTCAGCTATCAGCATTGTTTGTCCGGCCAACGTCCGTTCTCGGCAGCAAATCGAGTTGAGCCAGTTGACTTTGTCGCTCGAGTCCTGCGTAAACATTCTTCACAACTAGAAGAAGAAGAGTGGAAATGGCGACAAAAGTTGAGCTTGAGCCACTGCATCCTTCATCCATCATCTTGCAGCAGGCTAAAGCGCATTTCTATCCACTTGGCCAGCCAAACTTAAAACTTTCATGCACAATTTGTGTGCATTCAGAAAGTTGAATCAAGTATGTGCGCTGCATATGCCACACAAGTACACTCAGCGAAAAGGTGGAGTGAATAGTAAAGCTTTATAAGTAGTTGAGTTGAATGGAAATGGAATGGGAAATGCAAAGCTTTTCTCTAGAGTTTCTTGTTGATCTTTATTATGCTTTTATTTTTATTTTTTTTTTTTAGAAATTCTAAAGTCAAATTAAGCATAGTGCCTAATGTTTGTGAAAAACTGACTATCTGTTCAACTGAAGCACATTTCCTTTTTGAAGGCTTTCCTTAAATTTCGTTAAAGTAGAAAACGTTCATAGCTTTAATGTATTCTTATATCAATTGTATGCAAGCAAATTAAACTTTCTGAGGCCAACAACAGGCTGAATTCACTTTATGGCATAAAATCCTAGGCTAACATGACAATCCTGACCCACTTCCAGCATGTGGAGAAGTCTTCCGCTAGGTGCGGTCTATGCTGAGATTTTTACGCTTGAATTCGTATATTGTGCTCTAAGGATTATTTTTACGATGGGTACAAAAACAGTTTGGGCTGCTTCGTGCAACTAAACCTGTAACGTTCATACTTGAATGATTTCTTGCATGAATTCTACGTAAATCAAGAATAAGAATACAGGAAAACTTTAATACACTTAAAACTAAAAGGTGCGAAAAGTAGTGGAGTATATAATTTAAAGAAATTCATAGTTCATTAGTTCCTTGTGTTGCTGTGCTTCTGCAATTCACTTGTTCTATTTTTATATAGAAAATTCTTAGCAGCTTCTTCGGTATCGCTCCGAAGCAACCCATACACTGCTTGTTTGAGAAGAGGCCTATATGCTATCTCATTCTCCCTCAGCAACAACCGGGACTACGCTCAGCAACAGCTATGTTGGTCTCGCTCTCGTGGAGTGTTATTTTGAGTATATGAAGATGAGAGCTCCAACACTACTCTAGCTCTAGCAATTAGACGATATGTATACAACACACTGCTGCTTTAGATTAAATTTGTGATGTGATATATGTGTGCATAAATTATATTTCATATTTATCTTATAAACATTTTTATACACTTCACTAAAAAAAGTTTTTAAGAAGTAGTAAAAAAAAAGTGGCTAAATGAAATAAATATATTTGTTAGAGTTTTCTTTATTTAACTGAAAAGTTAAAAAAATTAAAAATATGACGATAAGTTCTTTGTGAATTTAACATTATTTTCGCTCAGTGTTCTGTCCTTCCTTTCCACTTATATGCGACTAACTCTAACGATGGTATCATTTTAGTTTAGCGAATTCCAAAGTTTAAATTTTGCATCCGCTTTCGAGGCTGTGCAACTGCTGTAGGGGTTGTCGCATACACACACACACACACGCATGAACGCACCCGCTCACACACACGCGCTCAATGCTTGCACAGATTCGCCAGCAGCTCGGAAAATTAAGCTCTGAAATATGCATGCGATCTAAGGGTTACACGTGTAGCAAGTCGGTGTTTAAAGGAGGCAGAAGTAGTTTAACAAGCAACTGAACTGAATGAGTTCTTTGTCAACCAATAAAGATTGCCGTGAGTCGTATCTATAGCTACAGTGGCACACAAACAAGATTTCCTCAACACCATTTATATCATTCCATTCATATGTCTCTTGTGTTGGCCTCTGTGTCGCCTCTTTGAGTCGCCCTGGTTACTCGTTTAATTAGCAAATAATTGTAAACGAGGTAAAGGTAGCAGAAACTAATTGGATTACGACCTAATTAAAGTCTGCCAAATGACAATAACAAAGCCAGCAGCAGGACATCGACTCGATTTATTAATTTCGCACTGCTATTGTGGAATTCAGTTATAAACGAACCGCAACAAAAACTAAAAGCGAAAATGTAAAATGCCTTTGTCTTAATGCATGCGGGTTATTCCACATGATCTGCATATGTTATTTAATAAACATAAATTCCAGATTCTCTCTCTCGCTCTCTCTTCCTCTCTCTCTCTCTGTTCTTCTCGCTTTCGCACTCTCTGCGTGAGCTTGCTAGGAAATACCCAGGCCTTCAAACAATCGACTTTTTAATTGTCTGTGTTTAATTGGTTAATTAAAAAATACATAAATTTCAATAGAATTCACGCCACTTTAGAAATAAAAAGAATATATATGTTTGTTATATATGTATAAAAACATTTTTGTATGTTGTACTAATCTCATTATAATTATAAATGAGTGTGAAATACTAAATAAATAAAAATATATATCTCTGTACACGATTTACACATGTTTATTAAATGCCATTGTGCACATTAACTTTGACTAAAAACAAGCTAATGTTTTTAATTTGCTTCACCTTTGATTTGATGTGTTTCACTTTTATTTGTATTTAAAATACAATTTTTGTAAATAATTTATGAATATAGTTATAATTGATTTAATGGTAATTAAAAAGGGTTTTTAGTAGCGTATAATGATTTTGTTGTAACGTATATTCTAGAGAAAATAATAATAATCTCGAAATAGTGAAGAAAAATTAAATAAAATTTTCAGTATAAAATAGTTTTTATTTTTTAGTTTTTACACAAGTTTCTTTAAATGAATTTTTAGTTATTAACTCTTATTAGACTAGTAAACACAACAGAGGACGGCTGAAACGGGACATTTCCGACCGACTTAGAAGAAGTAATTGCGAGGCACAAACGTGTTTGGGTCGATGAGCGTAGCCACCTCCGCGGGATAGACTCGCGAAGGTCCCGGGATGCGGTTGTAGGCAGCTGCAAGGCGACAGAGATAGAGCAGAGTTTGACCGGGAGGGAGAATCCTGTGGAGGGAGTTGTGACTTACCAATTATCTTGCTGATAGCGGTCTGTGCATCCAGTATTTGTGCTGGGGCAGCATTCGCCAGGAACAGGCAGACTGTGGCGAACAGCAGAACAATTGCAAACAATTTCGACATCTTTCGTTGGTGGGGACTGAGCTGACTCCTGCGAGTGCTGTTGCTGCGCTGATGAACTTTGTTTCAGGTCTAATTAGCAAAGTCACAGGCGCCGCTATTTATACCCGAACAAAAAATGAAGAAGGCATTTGTTAGAAGTCGAGCATGAATGGGAAGCCGCCGTCTCCCGGTTTTGGTTCTCAGTTCTCATTTCTCTGGTCTCAACTCTCTCTGATGCTGCTGCTACTGCTGCTTCTCCCCTTTGTTTTCTGTGTGTCGAAATTGATTTCTTGTTTTGAGACGCCGAAATTAATTTCGTTGGCGCCTACACAACACAAATATGCGGCAGCTGCTACGATATTTAATCCCAGCATACAAATATATTAAAAGAAAACGAGTCAGATTATTGTGGAAGCAGCCTAAACGACTGCTTGATACGCGCTCGAAAGAGTCTATGAAATTGTTGATCCAAATGTGGGCGGTAATGAGATTATGGGATTCTTTGTTGATTCGTTCGAGTTCATAAATCGGAATCCTAATACATTGTTCAGCAGACTATGAAGACTTGGCGATTCCATTAACACACAGCAAATTGGATTATGAGCTATTCAGAGTTCGCCTTGACTTGGCTCTCTTTATTATTTATACTTACGTATCTATTTGCAGCTCTCTCAGAAGCAAAGTACTCTAGCGGTTGCTTAAATAGGCTTCTAAGCAAATTAAATATTTAAATGTTCTTTTTAAGCTGTGATACGATTTCAAGTTACATCCAGAGACATACCAAAATTCCTTGCTTTGCTGTGAGACAGACAATCTGACACAACTCAATCCCAATTGATAGCATAAGCCTGACAGTCACTCGACTCTTGGGGAGCTGCACTTGTTAAGCTGAGGCAGATATGCCAGCTCTTCCACCTCCATCGATACTGTTACCATACCAAAATTTGCACTCTGTCAAAGAGACAGGTATGCAGACACAACCCACAGCCCAGAACCCATCGACCCGTTTAACCCCGGCATGGACGAGTAAACAAAGGAAGCCTGAAACGGGTTCCGCCAAAGAACAAACACGGCGCGACGCCGGCTGGGAATTCCAATAGAATGAAAAGTAAACAAACAAAACAAAATATTGACTATTTGAATATTGCAAGACAAAAATAAACAATTTTTTATTTTTTATTTTTAATATGAATTTATATGCAACATTTATCGAAATTTGCTTAAATATGTCTCTTTATTTTTGTTTGTGTTTTATTTCTTTTTGTCTAGGAATTTCTTGCCGGTTCATTGTACTAATTTTGTTGTTCTTCTTCGCATTTTGTTTGATTCTGGGTTCTGCGTTCTGCGTTCTGGGCTCTGGGCAATACCCAGCTTTATCGTGTCAGGTTTGGCCGTGGCGTTAAGATCAAAAGACAAAAATCGTTTGATATTGCGCTTTTGTCGCCTTTTGTCGCAAACGAGTTTCATAGAAAGTAAAAACCTTTTCATATTGTTTTTTTATTTAAATCCGAAACGAGCTGCGCCTCTACCTGTTATTTATTTATATATTAATTCTTGACTTTATGGCAGGAATAGAAATTACAAAACTTATGGAGTTGAAGGTCGGAAATGAAAGGCCTACGCAAAATATTCGAAATGTAAGAAAATATTTGAATATTTATTAGTAATATTTATATATAAAGGATATGCTGATTGAATAAATCTAAGGATCATTTAATCCATAAGCAAGCATGACCTGTTGTCTGTCTATCAGCTCAACGCGAGCCTCGGGTATTATCTAGATCTCTTCTACTTTATTACAAATGTATATTGTGTTTAATAAATTTTGGGAATATTACGCAGGCCTAAGAGATATGCCCTGTATGTGTAAATATACATGCCTACTTAAGTTAACTCATCCAAGCGCTTATGGCTTGTCCTCGGATCTAGGGCAGCATCTTAACAAGGGTTTGCCACGGGCCGTTGGCTGCTTGGAGCATCCTCGCCGCAGTTAAAAGTGGCAACAGCTGCACAATGACAAACGACAAACTGTTTCCGTGTGGTTGTGCGCATGTGTGCGTGTGTGTGTGTGTACGTTTGTTACGTATTCATTGTACGTGTTTTGGGTGGATTTGACTTGTGCTAAATCCATACGCTTTTAGGCACATTTGACGCGCACTCTTGAGCAAACGCAGAAAAGTTTGATTGGAATTTCGCTTGATTCCCACGCCACGCCCACGCCTGCCCAACTGCTGGTTGTCATCAAAGACATTGTGTTCAATACATACATATATGCACATACACACATACATATGTATATATTTAATGTGCATAATGGTAATGGGCGCACGTGACGACTTGGGACAAATTTTGTCAGCAACCTAATTGATTGAGACAAATGCGATGCGATGCGAATGCGTGATGTGACGACAGCAGAAAATTAGGATGATTCCTACTCTACTCCACTCAATCACCCTGCACTTGTTGCATGGGAAACGGGCTGTGTGTCACACACATGTTGGCTCTCTGAATTGTTAATCTAATGAGACGCGTGAGTCGCGGCAATGATATAAAGCTGCTTATCACAGTTGGGCTTTATCAGGCAGTTATATAATCCGCCTCCCTCGCTCTCTCTCTTTCGCCACACCCCTCCCAAATGTACTTGATACTAAATATTAATAATGAACCTCAACGATTCGCAGGCATTTCTTACTCATGTGCGTGATATGGATTAGATTAGGCGCAGGTGGAGCGAAGAGTTTTTGGAAAGTCAACAAGGAAACCTGGCAAAATATTATATAAAAATACAAGCTCAGCTCACGTATTTATTGAAACCTAAGCAGCTTTGTTTTTCTTTGCTAAAGTAGCTTAATTCAATTTACAGTTTGTCCATGACCGAATGTTTTGATTCTGATGAAAACTCATTGCAGTTCTCTTAATCAAGATCTGCTATTGAAAACAAAATTCAAGCTAAATGTGAATCTCAATGCATTAGGACTCAAATGTTGTGAAAATAGTTTATTAAAGTTAGAGTAAATAAAAAAAATTTTAAGGTCAGTAGAAATTTGAATGGAGGCATTGAGGGTGAGTCCGTTATTGCGTAAATTAATTCAGGGAAAGTAAGAACCTTTGACAAATAATGTTGTTGCTTAGCTGCACTTAGCGCATACTCAATATTGTTATTTCTTCCAAGAAAAACTTTATGCCAAAGCCAATAAGAAATTTGAGATTAAAATGAGATTAAAAATAACTTTGTGCTGCACTGCGCATACTTAGTATTATGATATTATTATCTACAGTTAGTTAAAAAATTTAAAGGAGACATGGACAAGGCCTTTGCTAATAGCTGTGTGTCGGGTTTCATTTAAATTAATTCTATGGAATGAACCGTATTTGCTCTACAGTTAAATAAGCTTATTGCTTAGCTGCATTCCGTGCATATTTACGGAATTCGAGTTTTAAATTGGATTATAATTCACTTTGTGCTATACTGCGTATACTTTATTATTATTGTAGAGTGAGAAGCTGCCGCGTTAACTTTGTGATGCTTATAAAATTTACCGAAGCCCAATCAATTTATAGTAATTTCGTGCCTGAAAAGAGATTAAAATAACGTTGTCCTCTACTGCGTATACTTAATATTTGTACATAAACAAAAATCGATTGTGATTGTCCCGCAGGCATTCAGATTAAACAAAATTGATTGTACAAAAAATTTGCGTAATAATTAAAAAGAAAAAAAAAACACACGCGTTGTGATACGCTGCGTATGCTTAATATGATTCTGCTGCACATTGAAGCGGCCCTCGTTTTATTTGTGCTGTGTGCAAATTTCAGCAAAGCACAAAATATATACGCTTGAGGGTGTCATCAAAACAAACAGAGTGATAGAGAGAGAGATAGATAAAGCGAGTACGCGCGAGAGAGAGAGATCGAGAGATAGGCGCTGTTAGCATAAACAATAAGCGCAGCAATGAATGAAAAAGCTTCGCACACAATAGGGACAAAAGGCAGGCATAAACATATTGCCCCAGGGGCAAATTTTCAAATTATACGCTTATAAAGAATTGCCAGCTACTTTTTGCTGTACTTTATTTGTGTGTATTTCTTTTTCTGTTGTTGGTTTGCTCCTTTGGGCTTACGCGGCGTATGCGCAATGTGCTAAGGATTTGCGTGAAGTCAAGTAATTTGTGAGATGGAAGCTCCAGTAAGCTTTGTTCTCTGGCTGATTGATGCGGCATTAATTAGCCCTAATCAACAATTTACGGTTAACTCTAAAATATCATTTACTTGAGTGAATTAACGCACATACATGAATACAACAAGTACATGCATACACATGTATATATATGTCTGTGTTTATATCGTGTTTATAGATATAAATGTTTCTTTCGTAAGATTAATGTTGAGACTTCTCTGGGGTCGCATTTGGTTGGCTTTGGCATAGAATTGTAAGATTTATTTCATTTAATTTTGTTCACATAAGCACGAGAAGAAGAATGGAGTGAATCAGGTTGTAAATTAATTACATAAGTTGCCATACTTCCCTCGCCCGGCAACTCTCCGCCAAGCGCGTCTTCTATGTCCTTTTCAATGAGCTCCTCATGCAATGAATAACAAATGTTGCACATAAACTCAATGCTTTTATGTTATGCGCATTATTTTGTGGCAACAAGGTTTACCACACACACACACACACACAGACACCAGACATACACACATATACACCTGTAGCATGTTTACCTGCCGTCAAGCTGCTTAAAAATGCTTTAGACGGGTTTTGTTTACATTAGACTAAAGCTGGAAGTCGATCAAAAACTTGCACTAAGTCGATATACCCAATCCCCATTCTGTTGCAGGGTAAATACATTTAACGACAACTTTAGATGCTGCCAGTTGTTAAATTCCGTTGTTGCAAAGTCTTCCCCTTGCCCACCCGCAGTTCGTAATGCCAAAAAAGTTTTGCTCTTTATGTCCACTGAGAATGGCATAGTCTTGGTATAACGGTTTCGTGGCAGTGTACGCTTCGGGCAGGGGGAGGTATATCTATTCTCAATTAAGATCTATCTGCCTTTAATAGCAGCTCTGCGCTGGAATCGCGGTATCTGCTAGTCGCG